AGAAGCTTATAAATCATTTATCAAATCTTTACCACTAATGGATATTACAAAGGATTTATTGTGCAATGATTTATATTCGAACTGGCTATCTGAAGAATGGATTGATTGCTTTATTAATGGTGGTCGAATACCATCTTCACATAATATGCCAGGTGCTAAACCTATGACCACAAATAATCTCACAGAACGAATGAATAAATCGATTGAAGGTCGACGTGTAGGCACCCAACCAATTAATTCATTTATTGAAAGGTTATATGGCATCACTTTAATAAGAGATAATATCATCGAAAAAACCTCTCCACAATTTGTATTTGAAGCAGGTCAGGCAACATATTAGAATTCACGAATTATAGAGCATCAATCACAACCATTCAAGCAACCGATGGATATGAAACGGCGACTAAATCAAGGATGGCTTTACGTATTACTACATCTAGTTAGACTTGCAGAGAGTGGATTTGATACATATTTTTATGTGAAAAAAGGAAAATGTATGTTCAGATCACCATATAATATAAGAAAAATCAGTATTGATAGCGAATTATTTAAATGACTTTAACCAATGTTCAATAAACTTGCTTCTAAACACCCTATTATCCAGCAAGATGATTATTATCTGACTAACATCTCTACAGGAGAATGTACATGTCTTGATTTCATTTGGAATAGCTCTTTTCGTGATGTATGTAAGCACGTTCATGCGGCACGGTTATTTGACGACATTGAAAATAATAAAATTATGCTTGATAGTGTAAAGAATGATTTTGTGCTATATTTTCGCAATAAGGAACGTGCAATGCCAAAAGAACAAAAAAATCTAATCATATATAGTAGTTCCGTCGATGCTGCATATGAAGAAATTCTTCGATCTTATATGATGCAAGGCAGTGACATCTTTTTTCCATATGAACGTGGAATCACAGAAAAAGATCCGTTTCGTCCTGTTGAAATGCCTACACGAAGAATATCAGATATTGGTACCCCTAAAACACATGGAGCTAAACCACTAAAAATACCTAATAAAATCCACCCTTCCGCGACATTGCGAAGGTATAAAAAAAAAAAAAAAAAAAATTTTTCAATTTTAAGATGGTTATATAGCACCTATTAAACATGTTTGTTTCTAGAAAAAATTGAAAGTATGGCTCAAATTCATTTTTTTTATATTTCTAACCTTAAAAATGAACTTCATTATTATGGAAAAGAGTTATCTGAAAGTGAACTACATGATAGTGCATTAGCTTTAACTACTTATGCTGATATGGAAAATAATAGTATGGGACCAGAACAAAATGAAGATGTTTTGGAATCTGCTCAATCGAATAATAACAGACTTGCAATTGGCCTAATAGTCAATTTTTCACATACAAATTTTGGTGGGCAAGATAATGCTGAAAAATTATCTTATACAACACAAAGAAGTGGCAATATGGAATTCGATCCTGTAGTAATTGTAGAAAGGGAATTTCAATTTGTTAATGATGATTTATTATAAATATTATGAAATTATATTATCATAAATAAAGATATTTCATATTATTTTCTAATGACATAATTGTTATTATTACGAATTAGGCTTGAAATATGAACATAAGATATTCATTCGCAAAAACATTGTTTTTGACCTTATGACCCATTTTTTTTGACCCAATCTAAAAAAAAAAAAAAATGTATTGTTTTTGACCTGTGTAATATAATATGATTATAGATCTGCATATCATACAACAATACTTTAGATCGACAATATATGTATTACTGTATTATTGTACTAAATCATGACTTATGAATTTTGTCGCAGAAAAGATAATAAGATATGAAAATTTTTTTTTGTATTTAACGAAAATAAAATTGTATAGCCTTTATCGTCAATGTTCTACACACAATAAATTTTTATACTCTTTATTACAGTATTGTAAACGCTAGCTATAAAACATCTGTTTTCTTAAAAAAAATAACTACTAAAGTCGTCTACTTTATATTGAACCTAATAAAAAACTTGCCATATTACGCAGATTCATTACACAGTAACTTCCAATTTAGACATCTGTTTTTCCTTTGTTTTTTTCCCATCAAACCATATAAATAATTTTTTCTTATTTTGTTTCGCGTTGTTATCCAAAAGAATATTTCGTTCGAAGCATTCTTGTACGAACTCACACCTTTTCCAATTAGTTCGTTTTTTTAAAAAAAGACTTTCGAGCTTAGATCGTACGATAGCTTTTGTGTTTGATTTTACGTTAATGCTGTTTTCAACAAGCTATTAAAAAATAATATAATTAAAATGTTGTATAACCAATTATATAGTTATTAATATAATCATAATATTACCTTATTTTTTGAAATATTACGCTTGCGATTACAAATTGCAGTAGTTATTCATCTCTGAATTGATGGTGCTAATAGATCTAATTGTTCTTTTCGATTATTTGTTAATACTTCATCTGTTTCAGATGATCCTAATAATTCTGTTTCATTATCAAGCAACATTGGCTCATCATTAATAATATGGTTCTAAAGATTAACACATATAAGTATCTGAAACATGAAATATAGTATAATACAATCAAATATTTGAG